CTACCACCACCACCTGCCATCCGCCACCCACCTGCCACTACCACCCACCACCCGTCACCACCACCAGCACCACCACCCACTCGCTACCACTCGCCACTGTCACCCACCCACCCGCCACCACTCGCTACCCACCACCCACCGTCAACACTTTCCACCATCGTCTTCCACCGCCACTTGCCACTACTTGCCATTTCTCACTATTTTTTATATTTTTAAATTTTTTAAAACATTTTGTCAATTACCAAACGCGTTTGTAGTTTATATTTTTCTAAAAAAAAAACAAAAAATAAACAAAAATCAGTTTATAAAATTTTTGTAAATATAAACTGAAAACGTAAACGTTACCAAACACACCCTTAATAACCACAAACTTCTCAAATGACACGCTTTCACTATGCACTCTGATATAAACAACGATTTATTTATTTATTTATTTATTTTTTTTTATTTTTTTACCTCAAATATTGAATCCAAATATTAATCACCCAACATATCTCATGTAAGACCTAATCCCTATGCTCTAATACCATTCTGTAACGCCCCAACTTCTTGGCCGTTAATAAATCAGATCAACATTAAATTTAAAATTCTAACTAATTAATAACCTTAAAAATTCAAATTGACTCCAAAATAATTACACAGATGTCTATAATTTATAATTTATACAAATCTCCGAAAACAATATATAGTGTTGGGTCCAAAAATCTCTAACTCAATAATTCTTTAAATGCTTTAAATCCAATCGCCACTAGATTTGCTCCACACCTAAAAAATAAATTAATTCGGAAAGTATACAATACGACAAGAATAATAATGCTCGGATAGAGAATAAATTAATAGGGAACCAACATTTTGCGACATGGCACAAGCGATTCGATTTGAGATACCAAGCAATTTATCAAATTGCACAAACAAGTTAACTCGACATATGATAATTTATCCAGGACCAAATACTTGATCATACTTAGTACATGATCAGTGAACGGCCTCACTCACCTCACCCAAGCACAACTACTTATCCAGGCTATTGGTCTAAGCTATTGGCAAGGTCCACTCGATCCATGTACGGAGCATTTCCACGTCATTTAGCCAGACAAATCAACACTAACTATATATAACAATTTCACAGAATTTATCAAATGACTAGAACAATCAAACATATCAATAAGCTTGATTTTATAGAATTTAACATATGACCAAGATAATTAAGAGAAGTACAAATGAAAAGTAATTAAAATAAACACTATTTGCAAAGAGATTTAGAGAAAGCATATTGTATACCACCCGAATTACCTCAAAACAATTTCATGACCACTTGATGCAAAATCCCTCCAACACTGATGCTTTTAATCACCTGCTATATTGGCATAAATCTCTAAAAGTTGTGGATCGAAAAGGTATGTAAAGCTTAACAAAATCTATAACTCTCTTCTTAAATAAAATACTAACTCTCACTCTAAATACTCTTAATCTAAACTCTAAATTTCTATAATTTAAGAGAGAATAATATGGGAGAGAGATGGATGGACGAAGAAGAAGAATGGAAAGAAGTTGAGAGGATGAGTTCCAATTTTTAGGCAAAACAAAGAGTAATTTTCAAGTAATCTTGGAGAGAAAGAAAGATAATTGATTTGTAGGCAAAGAAAGGTTGCTTGGAGGGAAAGAAAATAACATTTGCTTAGAGGGAAAGAAAATAACCTTTGCTTGGAGTCCAAGCAAACTAAAAAAATAAATAAATAAAAGAGATGAATAATGATAATAATAAAATGAAGGTAAAAAGAGATAAAACAAATACTAATAAAAAAAAAGTTAAGTTCTTATCTAAAAATCTTACCACTAAACTACCACCAATATCTCTTACTAAAATATTAATACTAAAAAATACGGAGTTTCACACATAATATGTGAGGCCTACAATCAATTCAATCATTTTAGTGTTTTATCATCCATTGCAATTTATGTGTAAATATTTTTTCCATCTACAATGCACTGGTATTCAATTATTTTTTTATTATTTAATAAAAGTTAATTGATATGTTTGGCTTGTAAATTTTATTTTAAGGTTTCGTTTGGCATGTGAGGTTAGGGTTAAAATAGGCATGTGAGGTTAGGGTTAAAATAGTCACAAAAGGTAAAATAGGTTAAAAAACCAATAGGATAAAATATCACGTCCAAACCATAATCATTTTACTTTTTCTCTTATAAAAGTTAAAAAATTCATCGCAAACAGCCCAGCTTAAAATAGGCAAAAAGCCAAAAAATCAACTCACTTTCCAAACGAAGGCTACAAAAATTAGGAATTGGGGTCACTGCTGTGCCTTTGGCACAACAGTGACTGTTGTGCCTCATTTTGTGGTGCATTATGAATTTATTTTTATAATCTGAACTGTTCATGTTGTAAGGTTTGTTGAGTACTTCATGCCTATCAAAAATCATATTAATCGGATACCAATAACTATATGATTGATAACCAAAAAAATAAACAATAAGTTTTTCTTTTGAAAAATAGTATAAAAATATGCAGTTTGATCATATAGTTATTGATATTCGATTAATATGATTTTTGGTAGGTTTGAAGTACTCAATAAATTCTACAAAATGAACGGTTCAGATCATAAAAATAAGCCCATAATACATTTCAAAATGAGGCACAACAGTCACTGCTGTGGCACAGCAGTGACCCCAAGTCCCAAAATTAAGATCTCGTTTGGAAAGTTAGATTTTAATAAATAAAAAAAATATAAATTATTACATTACTTCTTTAGTATTTTGTTATTTTTGTTTAAAGAATCAAAAAGTTAATTAAAATAGCTAATTATCAAACGGGACCTACTGTAAGCCCTCGTTTGGGATCAACTAATTTAGTGTGAGTTTTTAATTATTTTAATATGGCTAAAAAAATGTGTTTCAGATAATTTTAATTTTTTTGGTAATTACTTTGATAATTGAGATAATAAAATAAAATAATTATGACTTAAATATAATAATTTATTTTATATTTATTAACTAATTTAATTAAAATAACTCAATAACTCATATTATACGTGATAACTCATATTATACGTGATGTCTTAAGGATATGCCAGAACTATAATGATTAAACAGGCCGCCTCAAATCCAACTTGCCTTCGCTAATAAGGTCTCAAGGATATGCCAGAACTATAATGATTAAACAGGGGACACCTCAAATCCAACTTGCCTCGGTAATAATTTCAGGTTTCGTTTAGGATGGCGGTTGATTTTTTAATTTTTTTAATTATTTTAATTTAGAATTAAAAAATTTTATTTTTTAGTTATTTTAATTTTTATAAAAAAATAAAATAATTATAATTTAAATGTGATATTTTTTAATTTAAGCTAAAAAATCTATTTTATTTTTTTATAACTATTTTAGTTTTAACCCACCACAATCTATCATGTCAAACCAGTGCTCAAATTGGGTAATTGACTAAACATAGGGGTATAGTAGTAAATTTACTAACAAAACAATATCAAAGGCATTATTTGGCATCCTGTATTTTTTGTAGAGTTAGGTTAGAGATCTTAAATAATCTATTAAATTTTTACCAAATTTCTCATATGTGTGGGACCACGCAGATATGGATTGTGTGAGACCTACATATATGTGAGATGTTTGATAAATTATTTAGAATTTATAACATTTTTATTTTATTTGCGCTTAAGGTAAATGGTATGTGGTACTTCTTACTACTGTGATTAGTCACTACATTTATATTAAGTGTTTGAGAAATAATATGAGGCATATACATTTTGATTGGTGAAAGATAATACCATATAATATCCTATTGACATATAAAAATTTCTCTATATATTAGCACACTTTTTTATCATTTTATATTTTTTTAAGTCACATTACATCTTTACATTTTTACACATTTTTTCATAAAAAATTAAAATTTTATACTTATTTAAAGAGTTAATTACCTAAAAGTCATATTTATAAATGTTATGATAGCTCAGATCCTATTTAATATTTTATGAACCAATAAGTCCTATTTAGTAAAACTGAGAATATTATTAATTTTTAAAACTAAGAACATTATCAATTTTGCGTAGTAATATTCTAAATAATTGTTTCACTAATTGATAAAAAAAACATAGTATGAGATTAAACGTTGTTATACTTCTATTTATTAATTTAATTCAACTATTCAATAAAATCTAGAACATTAAGGCTAGGTTTGGCATAACCTATATAATCTATCTTTTTATCTTTTTTCCATCACATCACCTCTCTACTTTTCTGCACATCTTTTCCTAAAAAGACAGAAAGTGCACTTTTTTAAGACACCTCAAACCAACCCAACTGTTTTTTTCAGTTTTAAAATTGAGAATATTATCAATTTCGATTTGATATCAATTTGGTGAAATCGTTGGAGCATGAAAAAGTACTTTTTTCACCAAATTTTAAATTTGATGCCAGATTTGGTTCAGGGTTGGAGATGGTCTTAAGCCAACTTTGGCAACTAAAAAATAATTCATCTTTTTATCTTTTTTCCATCACATCACCTGTCTACTTTTCTGCACATCTTTTCGTAAAAAGACAAAAAGTGCACTTTTTTAAGACACCCCAAACCAACCCAACTGTTTTTTTCAGTTTTAAAATTGAGAATATTATCAATTTTTTCATTTTTTTAAGTTTTTTTTTTAATTTTGCACATCAATATTCTATCATCATGCTTCTTCATAGACACAAAGTTTCAATTTTGTACAAAAAATAATTCCATATTTTCAAAATTTTTTAATATTTTTTAATTTAAAAATTAATATTTTAAATTAAAATAAGTATCAAATTATCCTATTCTTTTATAAACAATCATAAATAATAAATAATTATTATTTAAAAAATAATTTTAATTATTAAAAATTAAAAAAAAACTTACTTAAAACTTAATAAATTATAAATTCATAAATTAAAACTGACATGTAAATGCCCGTATTATCTCGAACACGCCCGCTACCGCGCCGCCTATATATACCGAAGCGGTGCACCTTTTTGATTCCAGAAGTCTCTCGTCCATACTGTGTGAATTGCTTCGCTTGTTTGTTCCAGAGCTTCTCATTGTACAGTGCCATATCTCATAACCAAAACTCATGAATTCGAAATCGAATTCGAAAGCGACGGTGATGTTTAACGAGAGGGACGTTGTAGATACTGTTAGGGTTAGGGTTCCTCCGAATTCTTCATCATCATCATCACCTTGTGCTCGTGATTGTTGTCATACAAAGTTCTTGCTTCAAAACCACTTGAATTTCAAGCGAAGCGCTTCACCTGCTAAGATTATGCGTTACGAGAACGAATCGTGGGTTGATGTCGCTCCAGAAGTCTTCGATTCGCTCCGATCGGGGTTCTTGGAAGGGAAATCGGTGGTCGAGGTTCGAATTGAGGGAGTTCTTTGCTTGTTCGATTTTTATCGAATGTTGCAGATTGATTTGAAGAGTGGGAATCAGAGTTCGATTGCTTGGATTGATGTTCACGGTAAGTGTTTTTTCCCCAAGACCTTTGTCGATGGCGGTGGAGAAGTTGCAAACGTTTCCAGAGATCCGAACATTGAAGTCGTGAATGTGTCTTCTTCAAATCCGAATATTGAAATTTCGAACGTCACCGAGGACTTGGCCTCCGAAAACCCTACGATTGAGATTGGGATTAGAATCGGAGGAGATTTCAATTCGGCTAAGAGGAAAGGAGAGAGTGAAACTGAAGGAAGTTCTTCGAACGATCAACCCGGTAAGAAGAAGAAGAAGAAGTCGCCGATTAGTGCTTATGATGCAGAATCACCGAGGTGGCCGAAAACGAAACTGTTGAAAGAAGGAGAGAAAGCCTATTCAGTTGTCAAGAATTTGTTTCTGTCTGGGATAGGAGTTCTTGAACCCGGTGCTGCGATCACTGCAATTCACCAGTGCTCGCGCACCGGTCCGTTAGATAGAGCTCGATACGAAGTCTTCCAGAAGCAGATGGAGCTTATGAAGGCTGTTAGAGGAGAGGCCAATATGCAATTTGCTTGGTATGGGGCTTCGGACAAAGGAGTGGCTAGTATTTTGAGTCACGGGTTCGCATTGACTAACAAGTTTTCTGGTTCTGAAGCTCATGGAATTGGCATCTATTTGTCTCCTTTATGCTCATCCCACACAAGGTACCGCGCTGCGCACACATGCTTTAACATCTATTTTATTCATTGTATTGTAAATAGTTTTTTAGTTGTTGGTAATGATGATTGATGGTTGAATTGTGTTTTAGTGCTATGTTATCTGAGGCCGATGATAATGGAGAAAAGCATGTTATCCTGTGTAAAGTTATATTGGGTAAATGTGAACAAATTGAAGCAGGGTCCACACAGATGTATCCTTCCTGCCAGGATTTCGATACTGGTGTGGATGATCTTAAGAATCCCAATTGGTATGTGGTGTGGTGTGCCAATATGAACACCCACATACTTCCTGAGTGTGTTGTGAGCTATAAATCTTCTGATCGTGCGGAAGGTAAAGGAAAAAATGGTTTTCCTTGATTGCATTTTTTTTTTTTTTCGTGCACGTTTCTGTTTCATCTTTGGTGACCAGTTTTTGCTTTCTGTTTTTAAGGTCTATTTAGAGGATCATCGTTTGTGATGCCTCTCCCAGGTTCATCAAATGCTTTGTTAACAAATCTATTGTCCAAGTTACGCAACTCTCCTCCTTCCTCAAGAGTTCAGGAATTGCAAACTTTGTGGGTTACATATAAGGTAAATTACGCTGCTTTTTCAACAAACAGAAGAATAGTATTAAGTATCTGTTTTTTACTTAATTTTTCAAATATTTTGTGAAAAGCATGGTTCCTCGGACTGTTGATTGCAATTGTCTATTTGTTGTGCCAGGATGGAAAAGTGGCTAAAGATGCTTTCATTAAACAATTACGATCAATTGTAGGGGATGAGATGCTGCTTTCAACTATTCAGGAAATTCATGGCTGAAAAAAGGTTTTTTTTTTTTTTCTTTTTTTTTTTGGTCACCTGTAGGAGCATTTGGAAACTATACTTCTCTTGGATGATCCATTTTGCACAACCAAATGTAATATTGCTAGACAAAAAGGATTTTGAGAGGAAACCCCATAGATATCAAAAAAGAGAGGTTTTTTTGTTTTTTGTTTTGTTTTTATTATAGAGCTTTACCCCCCATCATATATGTAGCTACAATGCTTCAACTTAATTTGGAAAGTTTTCATTGCTAGTGATTTGATTTGAGTACTTTATTGATGCTTGTCAACCTTTCTGAATTTATTGAACCCGTGAATGGACATATGCGTATGAAGATGAAAATTGGTATCTTGATAATACGTTAATTTGGTCTCCGGGTATGTGTGTGTTAGCATGTGAAACCACCCATGTATGTGCTTGCCCATGCAAGCACATCTACGTGCCTTTGTACTAGAGTTTGTGGAAGTGAATAAGAGGAAGTGCCAGTTCTATTACAAGCATGCATTTGAGTGTGACGATTTGGCTTTTGTAAGCTTTTAGGTTGTCGGTTCTCATAAATAAATAACTTTATAATAAAAAACATGTGCAAAAAAAAAAAAAAAAAAAAAAAAAGGAAAAAATCTCTCTCATGCTGACTTGTTACCTAATTGGTATAATGGCATGACACGATGAATGGACATGTGCGTATGAAGATGAAAGCTGATATCTTGATAATATGTCAATTCGGTCTCTGTGTATGTGTGTGTTAGCATGTAAAACCACCATGTTTGTGCTTGCATGGGGAAGCACGTCTACGTGCATTTGTGCTAGAGTTTGTGGAAGTGAATAAGAGGAAGTGCCAGTTCTATTGCTTGCATGCATTTAAGTGTGACGATTTGGCTTTTGTAAGCTTTTAGGTTATCGACTCTCATAAATAAATAACTTTCTAAAAGAAACACATACAAAAAAACATCTCTCATTCTAACTCGTTACCTAGTTGGTATAATGGCATAAAACGATGAACACCATTGATGCTTGTCAACCTTTAAGAATTTATTGAACCGGGGAATGGACATATATGTATGATGACGAAAGTTGGTATCTTGATAATATGTCAAATCTGTCTCTATGTATGTGTGTGTTAGCATGTGAAACCACCCATGTCTATGCTTGCATGGGCAAGCACGTCTATGTGCATTTGTGCTAGAGTTTGTGCAAGTGAATAAGAGGAAATGGCAGTTTTATTGCATGCATGCATTCAAATGTGACGATTTGGCCTTTGTAACCTTTTAGGTTGTCAACTCTCATAAATAATTAACTTGATAAAAGTACGTGCCAAAAAATTATCTCTTATTCAAACTATTTACCTAGTTGGTATAATGGCATAAAGCGATGAACATTTATGTAGCACGGACACGGATACGGACACGATATGGACACGTAGACATACAAATTTTTAAAAAATAGGGGACACGACAAGCTGGGGACACGCTCAATATATATAATTTTTTTTATATATTATATGTAAAATTAAAAAATATATATTATTTTTATTTATTTATTTTATTTATTATATGTAAAATTAAAAAATATATATATTATTTGTATTTATTTATATTATTTATTTACAAAAAAGGTAAAAAAAGAAAAAAGAAAAAGAATAAAAAGAATAAAGAGCAAGAGAGACGGTAAGGAAGAGGGAAGAGAAAGAGTCAAACAAAAAAAAAGGAGAGACAGAGCAAACAAGAGGCGACGAACAGAGAGCGAGAGGTGACGAATAAAGAGAGAGAGGAGATGAAGACGATGAGAGACGAACACAGAGAGAGAGAGGAGACGAACAGAGATGCGAAAGAAACGAAAAACATACCTTGATCAGAGACGAAGACGAACAAATCTAGCCTCGATCTAGGCTTCAATAGGTTCTTCTCCTCTCTCTCTCTTCAATGGGTTGGGGTTTCTCTTTGTCTCCTGATTATGGTTTCTTTCTGTTTCATGACGTGTCAAGCGTGTCTGAAAGAGTTTCCGCCTGCAAAAATTCAAAAAAAAAACAGGGACACGTTAGGTCGAGTGGCGGACACGTGTCTACCGCGTGTCCAACGTGTGTCCGTGTCCGACACCCATACGCTGCCTCCAAAGAGTTGTTCGTGCTTCATAGATGAACATCATTGATACTTGTCAACCATTCTAAATTTATTGAACCGGTGAATGGACATATATGTATGAAGACGAAAGTTGGTATCTTGATAATATGCCAATTCGGTCTCCGTGTATGTGTGTGTTAGCATGTGAAACCACCCATGTCTATACTTGCATGGGCAAGCACGTCTACGTGCATTTGTGCTAGAGTTAGTGCAAGTGAATAAGAGGAAGTGCTAGTTCTATTGCATGCATTTAAGTGTGACGATTTGGCTTTTGCAAGATTTTAGGTTGTTGACTCCTAAATAATTAACTTTATAAAAGAAGCATGTGTAAAAAAATCTCTTATTCTAACTCGTTACCTAGTTGGCATAATGGCATAGAACGATGAACACCATTCTTACTTTTTCTTATTTTCAACCAACAATGAAGTGAACACCAAAACAAACATGCAAAATAAAAATGAGAACTACAAATGATTTAAAATAGAAGTGTGAAGTATCTGTGCCAACTCAATTTTGTCAAATATTATATGAGAACTAAAAATTATTTAAACTAAGCATTGTTCTTAACAAAGAATTTTATTGAAAAGATAAAAAAAGAGGCGAGAATGAGGCATCCTTTACAAGAAAGAAAATGCATCTCCAAAAAACAAAATCCCCAAAACAGAACTCCTACATAGCACACATTGATACCCAATTTCTAACTAACAAAAACAATGGGACTCCTTTAAAATGAGGATTCACTGGAGCCCAAAATGATGCCAAATGACAAACTTTATTCCAAAGAAAGTCCACTTCTCGAGATTTGTCTTCAAAAATCTGTGCATTCCTTGCCAACCACAAAACCCAAAAGATTGCAAAGACGGCACACAACCATAGTACCTTGCCCTTTTTGATCCTCCCAAACCTTTAAAGTCAGTATCATTTGTGCACGACCTTTCGGAGCCACCCACTCAACATTTTTCAAAAGAAACAACCTTTGCCACAAGCTCAAAGCAACTGGACAATGTAAAAATAGATGATCTAAGGACTTACCATCCTTACAACACATAATGCACCATTGTGGATTTAGAGAATGATTGTCTCCTTTTTTGCAATGTATCATTTGTCAAAATGCTCTCATGAACCAAATACCACATAAACACCTTCACTTTAATAGGAGCACAAGCTTTCCAGATTTTTTTTACAAAAAGGAAGCTGTGGGACATGAGGAATATCAATAATAATATCGAAAAAAAGATTTGCAAGAGAAGGTGCCCGATGAATGAGGAGTCCAAACCCTCCTATCCTCCACCAAAGGAAACAAAGAAAAGTGATCAAGCCTAGACAACATAGATGCCAACTGTGCAGCCTCCCCATCATTGAGATTTTTGGAAAAATTAAAATTCCAAGAAATTGGAGCCATAGAAGAACAAGCCATGGAAGCAACAGAACCTTAGTTGCAGGAATCGTCCAACTAGGTGGCGATTCTGAGTAAGAATCGCGATTCCGCGTTTCTTAGAGAGAAACGTGTAGGAATCGCGTTTCTGTGCAAAGAGAAACGCGATTCAGTCCAAGACGGGGTCGTAAAGGGGAAAGAGAGAGAGAGAGAGAGAGAGAGACCCTAGCATTCCATGTCGAAATGAGAGGGAGAAGGGTTTTTCAGAGAAACTTACAGTGAACAATGGTAGGGTTTCTCAGACACATCTTCGATTCAGTCAACGAAGATAGCCTTCGATCTCTGTTACATCTCCTCTGATCTGGTCACGATCTCCGCTGATCTGGTCACGATCTCCTCTTCACTCTCTGTCTTCATCTCTCTCGACCTCCTCTGCTGTCTCTCTGTCTTCATCTCTCTCGATCTCCTCTGATCTGGTCGTCTTCGTCTTCTTCTTCCTCTCTCTCTCTCTCTCTCTCTCTCTCTTTATTTTAACATATTTTATTATTCCTTATTTGTTATATTTTTTTATTTATAATATATATATCAATTAAAAATAAAAAAATAAATTAACAATAACATATTATTTAAAAAATATAATAAATAAATAAAATAATTAATGTGTATTATAAAAAATATTTATGAAAAAACTTCTAATCTGTATTAATATATATATATATATTACCGCTCCCTGAGGCGCTCCCAACCTAAGAAACTTCTATCAGCTCACGCTTCCCCGCTCCCGCACCCGCTTCGTGCAACTAAGAACAGAACAATTATGAAATCGAGCCACTCTATATAAATTTGGAAAATCCGAAGCAAAGGAGGAAGATCCCATCCAAAGATCCTCCCAAAAATGAACCAACTTCCCATTTCCCACTTTCTCAGAAAGAAAATGCGACCAAAGTGTATAGATTTGCGAAATTGATTTCCAAGGAGCCGGACAATTACTCCTCACAACTATGTTGGAGTCTCTACCATTGTCTCGAATCCCATGCTTTTAATTACAGAATGCCAAAGTGAATCACTCTCAGATGGAAATATCGAGAAATATCCATAACCACTTACCAAGTAGAGCCATGTTCCTAGCCAGAATGTTACCAATGGCCAAGCCACCTTTATCTTTTGGACGTAAAACGATCTCCTAATTCACTAAGTGATCCCTCTTCCCCTCATCCTTACCTTCCCATAGGAAGTACCTTATCAACTTTTCAATTGACCTTGCCACCTTTACTGGGATTTTGATCAAAGATAAAAGAATAAATGGGAATATCACTCAATACTGTCTTAACCAAAGTATATATGAGTCCTTGTGAAAGCAAAGCCGTACTCCATTCTCCTAACATTTTCCCAATCTTCTCCATAACTGGATTCCAGAAAGAATCCAAATGGAAGTCCCCAGTACTTGAACCAAAGCGACGCAATACCACACCCTAGAAGTGCAGCCCTTCTCTTCTGGGGATGAGAGTCAGGTAGTTAATTTTTTGTTTGAGACTGTTTGGGGTACTCTCAGTGCAGCCCTTCCCCATTTGTTGGCCCAGGATGGGAAGTTGGCTAAATATACTTCCATGAAATGGATAAGACGATTGTTGGGGATGAGATGTAGGTTTCAACTAATCAAGAAATTTGTGGCCGAAAATGATGTGTTTTCAAGATTTTGTTTCTGTAGGAGCATTTATACAACTAAATGTAGTGTTATCAGACAAAAAGAATTTCTCTAGCCTCATAGATGTCAAAGAAG